CTTTAACCCCTTCCCGTGCTATTTAGCTCGACGAAACTATCTGTACTAATTATAAGTACTATCTGTACTAAGTATCTGTTCGCGACTCAGACTCATGATATTTATTGGGTTGGGGAATAAGTTCGTAGCGTTTTTACCGAAGACTTTTATTTAAACAAAAAACAATAATTATATCAATAAGTTAATCAATTATAGAATCGTTTTATGATCGCAGTTCATTTTTTCCGCCAATTCACGACTGGTTTGGCGACCGTTCTCCTTCAAAAGTGATTTGAGACGTTCTTCATCGAATTCAGAAGGCCTTCCGCTGCGGGACGTGTCATCGACGTTAAAGTCGCCATTTTTTAACTTTGCAAACCATTTCCGTGCTGTAGACTCGCCTATGACACCTTCTCCATACACGTCGCAAATGTCCCGGGCTGCTTCGGCAGCTTTTTGACCTCGATGAAAAGCAAAGAAGAGCAGGTGTCGAAAATGTTGATTTTTGCCTCCTGGGTATTCCATTTCTAAGCCTCAAAACTAATAAAAAATTAAATAACTCAAAAATACAATTAACATAGTTTTGTAGAGCAGAAAGAGTTCTATCGAATGAATACTTACCCGTTGCCAAACAGCAAACAAATCGTTGTAAAATAAAAGAAATTATAAAAACGCTATGAACTTATTCCCCAACCTAATAGTTAGAAAGAGAATCCCCGTGTTTTGATGGCATGGCGCAATTAGAAACAAAAGTGTTGCCATCTTTTAGAAAAAAAATGAAATTTCAACAAAAAAAAATTAAAGACTCGAACCCAAAACAATGCAACCTCGCAAATCTAACGATGCACAGTGAAAATTAGTACTAATTAAGCAGCGACGTAACTTCGAAAAAACGCAAAACGAAACGACGCAAAGCGAGGTATTGGTGTATTTCTACTCCGTAGTAATACCCACATCTACTCTACTAGCCGTCATAATTTACTGGTTGCACTATCTGATTTCAAACGGCGGAGACTTATTTGTACATATAATATTTTCTTACTGAAGAAGATGGTCGTTCGAAGCGAGTTGTTGGTAATTAAATTGACCCATTCGTTCTAAGCGTCGTTGTTTGTTGCCTTCACCCACATGCGAAATCGAGGCTCGACCGCTTTTCGAAGTTAAAGTCGGTTTCGTCCGGATTTATCAAGCTTTCGTCTCGATGTTGCCGAGGTCTCGTGTGATTCGTTGGAAAATATGACCGCAGTTCGATCTTCGTCTGATTCCATTCTACGAATCGTTCTCGATCGACGGGGAACCAAAGGGGTGGAACGTATTCGATGACTTCGCAGACGAATCAAGGAACATCGTAACAATCGACTGTATCAATTATTGTGTCGGTATCGTTCATGGACCGGAAAAAAAATCCCGGAACGGAGATATGTCCGATATGAACAGCGGCGAGACGTTCCGGTTTTTCTTGTTCGTTCGGTTCTCCCCGTACCACTACGAGTCTGTTCTATCGTAAAATCTTTTACTGCGTGATTGGAAATAAATCCGTCTGTGATCAGCCATCCGAGCCCCGAGCTCGGTCGGCGACAGCGTCTCGTCGAGATTTTTAATTGAATCGCCCGTGACATCGAGTGGGCGTGAAAGACGTATCGATCGATTCGCGGTTCGAAGGAAGTCTCCGAGAAACGATGTTCCCGGGGGCGAGTCTTTATAGACAGTCGCGGAATTAAACATTGAAAGCGGACGTTCGACACGGATCTTTCAACGAACTCAGTGAACAGCAGCTCAGGATGTTAGCTCTGTTTGATGGACTGTACGCGAGCGTTTCACGGCTCACGTTCCACGAAAAACCTTGAACTTGCTTCGTATGGTCAAGGACTATCGCACTTCCTTCCTGAACGTCGAGAAAATTTACAAGCAAGAGGTTTTATTAGCGAGCGTTCTTAGCTTATTAGCTACGCGACACGGGAACACGATATCGTAAAGTTGACACGCAGCGATACATTTTATGAATAATTTATGTGAACGCATTGGAGAGATCGTGCGGAGCACGCGAGTGGAACGCGTACGAGCCATCATTTGCGGGCACCAACTGTTTTTCCTCTATTTATTTTCGATCGTTTGCTTAATGGATAATACGCTGATATTGGGAATTGACACAGGGATCAATAGATATAGTTAACCATCATGGCGACGCGAAGCCAGGAATTATACTCGTGGTCCCGAGAGTCTATGACCGGGCACAATCCAGTTTTTGCAATTGTTGATCGTTTTGCGCATGGCTTCGTTTAGTTTTACTGTTCGGTTCTAAGACTTTTTCCGGGACACCCTGTATTTAATACGAAACGTGTGTTCGTGCGTTCAAGCAGGTCGGTGAATAATGTCGCGATACCATGGCGCAGCTGATAGACGATGTTTGCTCGCAGGTGTCTCAAACAAGGACGTGAGCGGCTGGTCGAAGATTCCTTGCCTCAAGGGACGTTCCTCGAGCAAAGGTGGAAGCGCGTCCACCGGTGCACACGTCGGCCCGCCGCAGTGCCCGCACTCCGTTCTCAGCAGCACTCGAAGTTCGGTGAGCAGTTCGCCGTTGAGCCCGTGTCCGACGCCAATGCCATTTTTGGTCACATCGGGCTCGGTCAGGTGAGTCTTCACGATACGTCTGACGTTCTGTTCGATCATACCTACCGACTCGACTGAGCTTTACGAAACCGGGCCGATTAAGGATGTATTGGCTATACAGTCAATCCGAAAAGTTTATGTACCTTAGAAAAACGCATTTCTCATAATTAAAAAGAGATCAGCAAAGAACAATGATTTTGGATGAAAAAAAGTTTACTTGTTAACGTTCAATTGGTTTCTGAACAATAAAAATTGGTAGAATTTGTTATATTGTTTATATAAGTACTTTCCTATCACAAATTTNCGTTTTTTCTGGGTTATTTTCAAGATCAAAGTGTACTTTTCTTTGAGCTATTGCTGATTACGATAAGAATACATGCAAATTTTAAGTGACTATAATTTTTCAGAAAATCCATGAATTGATTTAAAATTGTACAGATAGCTTTTTAATAGTAACTATAATAACAAATTCAACATGCTAGCATCGTTTAAGTATACATATAACCTATGCATCCTTAAAATTTGATCAGCCCGTCGGAAACGTTTAGGAGCGTTTCATCTATATTTAATGAAAACGTGACCGGGAGTGGTCGGCCCTAAAGGTCGCCGCAGCTAAAAATACGCCTACGGTCTCGTTCCAAATTGATGCGGTGCTACGTTCGACGAACATATGCACGTACGTGTCCAACTGTAAAGTCCGATAGCCACTCGCATCGCGTCGCGTCACCTCTGCGTATCATCCGATGACACGGTGCCGCGGTTCCGTTTCCCATCCGTCTCATCAAACGCGTTCCGTGACCATCAGATCGGTACGAGGCTACGCTCGTCTCTTTCTACATAGGAACAGTCCAACTTATCGATTTAAAAATGCGACGCGTGCCGCAGTGTTCTGTATGGAAATAGATGGGACGAAAATAACGTTCGATTCTTTACCGTAGTTCATTTATAGCACCCGTGGGAAAGCTTATAGAAAAAATGTCTAATTTCATCCGCTCCTCTGACTCGTGTCAACAGCAAACTGACTAAACACGAGTTCGCAGTTGACACATTCTAATTCCTGACCTTCTTCGATCGAGACGATCCTCCACGACTATTCCTAGTTCTGGTCCTTCGTCCTCTACAGGATGTTTGCGAAATCGGGGTACAAAAAGGGGATACACCAATACCTCGCTTTGCGTCGTTTCGTTTTGCGTTTTTTCGAAGTTGCGTCGCTGCTTAATTAGTACTAATTTTCACTGTGCGTCGTTAGATTTTCGAGGTTGCGTTGTTTTGGG